AAAAAAAAAAAAAAAAAAGCATTGGCCCATGAAATCCAGGAATCTGGGAATCACTGATCTAGTCCAACAGTCTTGCTTTTATGATGGTTGCACAATTAGGAGGGGGCAGAACAAGCAGGCAAATTTGAGTCTCACTCTCAGCTGCCTCCCTTGGGGTGGTGGACCTGTCTAGCTGGAAGAGAGAAGGGAATGCCAAGCCCCTGAGGCTTCCAGGAACAAAGCAGGCCAAGCCTGCAAGGTCACTTACGATTTGGTATATTTGACTCCGGAGGCCTTCCGGTCCAATATGCCATAGCCTGTGTCAATCACCTCCTTGGTCTTGCCGGTTTCCTCAAAGGCAGACTTCAGCTCGACAGCGACATATTTACACACTGAGGGAGGGAAGCCCCGTACAGCCCATGAGTGCTCCTGGGCCCATGACTCAAAGCAACCCTACAGGACAGACTGCAACTGCCGCATAGGGTTTCCAACGCTGCAATCTTTATGGAAGCAGACTGCCACATCTTTTTTCCCACAGATCGGCTAGTGGTTTGAACCACCAACCTTTCAGTTAGCAGCCAAGCACTCAAACCACTGTGCTAACAGGGCTCCTGGAGAGGGACCACTGATTTGATTCATAGCAACCCCTCCCCTCCTTGAGTTTCCAAGGTGGTATCTCTATAGAAGTAGATTGCCCAATCTTACTTCCAAGGAGTGGCTGGTGGATTTGAACTGCCAGCCTTCCCCAGCAGTCAAATGCCTTGGGCACTACGCCACCAGAGCTCCCTGAGAGGGACCAGCTCCCAGTAAAACAAACCCAGGCAGGCATCCTCTCCCAGGAGGGGTCACCATCCAGGGCAGGGAAGGAGTTAGTACCAGACCACCAAATGGAGTTCACTTTGTAAAACTGTGGCTCCCAGATGCACACTTTCCCATTGTTACTCTTGGCCCTTATCCTACTAACTTCATTTCTTTTTTCCTCCCTCATTTTACTTGGAAAATTTTCAAACATACAGAAAAGCTAAACAGTGAGTAACTATGTATTTTCTACTTGTATCAACAATCCTCAGTAATGTCCCACAATCTCTCTCCAATAAGTAATACATACTTTGTTTTTGCTAAACCATTTTGAAAGTAAAGTTGTAACCAACAGAACAGCATTTGCCTAAAAACAAAGCTCAGAAAGCCAGAAGGGGCAGGAAAGAAGGACAAAGGGAAAGGGGGACTACAAGGAGAAAGTGAGTAGTGTGTTGTTACATTGTGAGGACTGCAATCAAAGTCACACACATAAAAAATGTAGATAAACTGTTGAATGGAAAACTAATCTGCTCTGTCAACTTTTGCCCAAACCACAATTAAAAAGAAAGTTTCAGACACCATGACCCTTCTGACCCTATGTTGTTGTTGTTATGTGCCGTCAAGTCGGACTCCACTCATAGAGACCCCCTCCTTGGGTTGCCAAGGCAGTATCACTACCGAAGTAGATCGCCCAACCTTCCTTCCAAGGAGTCGCTGGTGGGTTTGAACCGCCAGCCTTCTGGTTAGCAGTTAAGTGCCTTAGGCACCATGCTACCAGAGCTCCTTCTGACCCTATGTTGTTGTTGTTATGTGCCGTTGAGTAGGCCCCAACTCATAGTGACCCCTCCTTGGGTTTCTGAGGCGGTGTCACTACAGAAGTAGATTGCCCAATCTTCCTTCTGAGGAGTGGCTGGTGGGTTTGAACCGCCAGCCTTCTGGTTA